GGACCTGCAGTAACACTGTTAAGTGGTACTGAGAATGGTCCAAGATAAAAGGCAGTCAAATGGGGTTATGGATTGAATTGTGTCCCAAAAAATATGTGCTGGAATCCTAATCCTATATCCCTACACCTGTGGATGTAATCCCACTTGGGAACAAGGCTTTCTTTCTTATGTTAATGAGGCTATAGCAGTATAGGGAGTGTCTTAAACATACTTACTTTTGAGATATAAAAACAGCAGATTAGACATAGAGAAGCAAGCACAAATGGGGAAAAGTCAGATGCCACGTGGAGATCTCCAAGGAATATCAAGGTTGCTACAGAAACTGAGACAAAGATTCCCCGCCCCTCAAAGCTGACAGACACAGGCTTCTCCTAGAGCTGGCAGCCTGAATCTGGACTTCTAGCCTCCTGTTGTTAGTTGCCACCGAGTCAATTCCGATTCACGGTAACTACTGTGAGAAAATAAATTTCTGTTTGTTAACACCACCCACTTGTGGTATTTCTGATTCAGCAGCACTAAGAAACTAAGATAGATGGGGATTTGGGAAAACAGGCAGTAAGGTGGACATTTGAGACTGGCTCACCTGCCACCTAGCAGGTGAAGAGAATGCCATCCTGGTTGGTAGGTGGGGCATGGATAATCCCTGGCACAAAGTGGAAGTTCAATTGCTGTTCCCTGGTGGTGACTTGGGAATATATTCCTTTGGAGGGGAATGCTGTAGCGGATGAGATAATGCAGGCATTTGAAAAATAAGAGTGAACAATGCTACAAGGCCAGCAGACTTGACTTGTTACTTATAAATTGTATTGATGCCCAGTAGAAGGATAATGAGTGACTGAGGGCTGTTAACAAGCAACTAATGGCTAAGTCCAAGAGCCAGAGAACTAGGCCACTAACTAGGATTAAATCCAAGCATAACCTGACTAAGGATGTGCTGGACCTGATAAGGGAGAAAAGAGACTATATATATCTAAAGTGATAGTTTACAAGGAAACCCTTAGCACCTGTAGTGAAAGGGCAGCCACAACTGAGCGACAGGCTGGAGATCTAACTGTAAGAGCGCAGAACTCCAGAGATGTTTGAATGCTCAGCCAACGCAGATCAGGTTGTGAAGATAAGGACACTGGTAAACAGGGACATCTGGGTGGATACCGCTGAATATATTAACTCTACATCTCTCCTGGCCCCTCTGAACTTTCAGAGGTGGCCTACCCTTTCCTAGCAAAAACTAGCACTTCCACTGTGCTGAAAGATGCTGCAGAAACTTCTCCCCCATAAGGCAGTTGGTGGCTCTAAGGAGCTATCAGTAATACCTCTCCTGGCTGCCAGGCCACTAACTAGTATTAAATCCAAGCATAACCTGACTGAGGATGTGCTGGACCTGATAAGAGGGGAAAGAGACTATATCTAAAGTAATGCAAGAACTATACACTAGCAGAAGCTAGGTGAGTACTACTGGGAGTGAATTTTGAGGTTGCACAATCAGAAGAGCTGAGATGCAAGGCTGGATAAGCAAGAATTTATTGACTTGGGGGCATATACTCAGAACACGAGTTTTACCACCCTAGTGCATGAGTTAAGTGCTTGGCTACTAACCAAAAGGTTGGAGATTCGAACCCACCCAGCAACTCTGTGTGAAAAAGACCTGGCAATCTGCTTCCGTAAAAATTACAGACAAGAAAACCCTACAGGCAGGGCTGGATTAAGGCATGTGAGGGCCCTAAACACAGATAATCTGTGGTGCCCCCTCCTCTGCTTGCTCACGCATTCAAATGAGATATGTGAGTTATATACACCCTCTCCTCATTTATCCACATGGTTAGGTTCCAAAGACCAGGTCATTATGTGAAAACAGCGTTATGCGAAAATGGAGGATGACCACATCAGATCACAAAATGGAGACTGACTACATCATTACATAACTGTTAAACCACTGAGAATCATGGCCCAGCCAAGCTGACACATAACCTTAACCATCACAGCCAATATCACTCTCGCCTTGCACCTTGGCATTTGTTACTGCCTAATGTGCAAAATAGTCAGATGGTAGATTTTTTACTATTGTCATAAATGCAAAATGCCGGATAACAAGATAATTGATAAGTGAGAAGAAGGTATATATACATGTATATGTGTGTGTGTGTGTCTTAGCTATCCATGATGTAACTTCTTTTTAAATGCGACTATAATATTAGCAATCGAACACAAAAGTGGCATATGCCATTTTAGCAGAATGAGATGAACTGGATTATAAAATGTTTAGTGGATGCGGAGTACTAAGATTTTTACTATATACCACATTTTCAACAAAAAAGAATATTCCAGTGAGTTGAAGATAATGGTGATGGAATAATTTCGAAAGGGATAGTGAGAATAGCAGCACGACTGGAAGAATGTAACTGATGTCACTGAATTGTACATGTAGAAACTTTTGAAATGGTGTAACTTTGGCTATGTATATTTTCACCAAAAAAATGGTCCTTCAAGGTCGAGAAGGGAGAGTGTTGACATGTCGTGGTGTTGTTTACCAATGTCATAAAACAATATGTGTACTCAACATTGGGGAAACCAGCACAACTTGTACAAGGAAAGGTCATAGAAGCTCCATAGACACATCCAAACTCCCTGAGGGACTGAAT